CCCCGCATCAATGTATTAATTCATCAATGTAATAGACAAACACTTAAAAAAATCATGCCCCCCATCATTTGTTGAACGATTGCCACGTCAAGTTTTGGATTATGTACATTATAAAGCAAACGAATTAAATAATTTTTTATTAGTTTACAGTCTGCCAATCTTAAAAAATGTTATGAATTGTAGATATTTCAATCATCACATTCTCTTGGTATTTGGAATCACACTACTAAGTTTGAGAAGCATCAGTAATGAAATGATAGAGATATCGAGGATTTTATTAACTGAGTACGTCAGACAATACGAGTATTTATACGGCAAAAAATCAATAACTTGTAACATTCACCTTCTACTTCATTAACCAGATAAAGTAAAAAATTTGGACCACTATAGGTTACATCGTGTTTCTCTTTTGAAAACTTAAATAGCATCTTGAAAAGTTACGTATATGGCTCAAATAAGCTTTAGCTACAAATTATTGCTGCTGTAAAAACTTAAATATTTTTTGCTGAGATCAAAGATAAATTTCTAACAATAAATAGTCCAGTATATAGTTTTGTAAGAACACAGAAAAATCGGGCACACACAGATTTAAACTGAAACATATTAGTAAAAGTACATATATTGTTGGGAAAGATACAAGATATGCTCTTTTCCTCAATTTGTGAAAAACATATTTAATAATAACAATATTGTGTTAGATAAAAATAAATGTCATGTATTCCTAAGACTTTTTAAAGACAAATTGTACTATGAAACTGCCGAGTATGCACAAAAAAAGAAAACAAATTCCTCTTGCGTAAAATTTGTACACAACAATATTGAATGCGTAGGTTTTATTACAAGTCTTCTGCGGATATGTAGCTGTGAATGTTTACTTCCTCGTCTTGAGTGCAATGAAAATTGTAAAAACATCGCTACAATTTCTGAATGTGAAATAAAAGAATCATTTATGTGTAATCTGGTCAAAACATCTATTTCGATGATTCATAAATACGAGAAAAAACGAAATGTACTGATTCAATTAGACGCAATTATAAAAATATGTTGTAACATAACGTTGGATGATGATATTTATGTCATTGAAATTACAGATCAACTTTAAGAAGACCTAAGTACTGCCTAATTAATATAAGACCTAATTAATGTATCGATGATTATTGTTAGTTTGAAAAATTTATACTTACTTGTAAAAACAGTGATTTAAAAAAAATTTTTAGGTAAGAAAAAAATCAAATTAACAGTCTCTTTGTAAAAATTAACCTTAAAACACTTGTACACAAATCTCTTTAAAAATATGTGACTTAGAAATTTATAGCCTCGTTTACAGCTCATTAGCAATTAATACAAAATTATTTAATGCAAATAATTTATTAAAACAATTATAAACAACGTTATTTATATTAAATAAACAGTATTTATTTTTGTTCAATAAAATCCACTTTTTATCGAATTTCATGTAAAGTTTAGCGAAACTTTTGTAATGCAATACGTCAAGTTGAGCTAAACTTTGTATTGATGCTGACGGAATCCAGCGCAAAAGTTGAGCTAAACATCTACCAAAATTCTTTTACAAAGTTTCGGACAAAGATCAGCAAAACTTGCGCAAAAATAAGGCGAATGTTCGAGTGAGTAACGACAAACTTAAGCTTGTCCGAACATTAGCCAAACTTGAGCTAAACGCCAGTCAATCAAGAACTTAAGTTTGGGATTTTGTCATTGCCCAAGCTTGGCCAAAGTTTCGCCAAACATGAACTTTTGCGCAGGTTTGGCCAAACTTGAAAATTTTTACGCGGGATGGTATTGTTAAGTGCCAGCAGATATGTCTTAATTGTCAAATTTTTTTTTTTTTCCAATATCACGTGGTGTAGTTAAGCTAGTTATTATTTCAAGAACGTGACAGGTAAATGTAGCATTATTATTATTTAATGTTACAAATAAAACTCTTCCTACTAGATGTACATTAGAACTCGGAATTTGATCTTAATTTTTTTTTTCTGTTTTAATCAATAATTTAGCGTTTAAAAACCCGTTAATGTTCTGTTAGCGGAACAAGTCAACTGTAGGTTTTTATGCATTCAAACAAGGAATAGATATTAAAATATTTTAATAAGGTATAACACACTTGAAAACGGACGAAAATAGACTTACTTTCAAGCAGGAAATAAGAAATAAATTTGTTTAAAATAAATTATTTATGTATGATAGACGGTTTCAAATTATTTTTTATAGCAAACTACGACACGTAAATTCCACGTCAAATGCTTAGAGCTTCTACGTGGACTACAGTAAAGAAGAGGTTTTTTAGGTGTAGTGTGTGTTTTGGGAGATAAACTTTAGTATGAGACGATTACCAAAAGGTCGTGTATTAATTTGGTGATTTTTAGGAAGCAATTTTCTTGAAAAATTCATGGATAACCCGACTCTAAATATTCACAAAAATTAAGCTGTTTTTTAATTGCAAGTGGGCATACTAAGAAAGTTCGGTCGTTTTTGAGGAGATTCATTTACTCACTGAAAACAATAAATGTTGTACTTTAACATGCTGGAAGAACATATGAATTTTTTTCAATATTTCTTATCAGCCGAATTTTCAAGAAAAAGATTCCCAAAATTGCATGATTTAACATTGCTCTTATAGGTGAGAGCAATTATTAAGCCTTTGTTGCACAAATTTCGAGGCTATAGAGATTTATTCATGATGAGAAAAAAGTTCAAATGGATAGCGTAACTTCTAAGGAAGACTCTCGTATAAAAATATGTGCACCTCATCAGGTATTTGGAAGAAATATCTGCTCAAACGTAAACAAAGTCACGAGCAGGTCTTATGATAAGTGTATGAGAGAGAACCGAGCATTTTCTGCTTTCAGCTGGTCTTTTCATACGAAGCGAGACGTCTTTACAAAATTGCTTCTAGAATTTGTTAAGCTGGACATTATGATCTGAAACTTGGCCCAGCCTTTCTTAGGACTTCAAACTATAGTGCTGTGCAAAAAAAAAGTTTTTTTTCGAAAATTCATAACACACTTTTATTGATAAAAGATGAGTCTCTTCTCACTTTTTTTAGGTTATTTTTTATCATGCACAGAACATGTTTCTAAGTTTTTTTACTCGAACTATCGCAAACAAGCTGCCTTAAAGTATGTACCGTCGTGTGTTCATAGCATTTAATGGTTTCACTTTTGAGCACTGACGAGTTGAACACAGTTAAATTAACCATGATGCAGTAGACGAACCTTTTCATGCATTGTTAGTACAACTCACATTAACACGGTATCTTATGGGAGCCCCTGCACACCCTGCTCGGCCCCCCCCTCCAGAAAAACGACCGAACCTCCTTAACGTATTTCATGAACATACTATCTCGATTTTTTAAAAATTAAAAAAAGAATGGGAATGCAACAGCACTCCTAAATAAAATATTCAATTGCTGAATCCTTTTCATAGTCTTAACATAGCATAACTTGCAAAACTATTTACAAGTTAAGGGAAAAGTTAAAAGTAAACACAAACACGATTTCTTTATAGATATTCTTAGAGATTAGCAACTTATTTCTTATCCATACATCTAAACAGTACGGCGCATAATATTTTGGTAAACGAATTGCAGTAATATTTACCTTAGTAAGCTTGTTTTGTTAGTTTAAAACATCGTTATAAGATTCTTGCAGTTATTTATAGAAATTAACATTCTTAAATTTTAAGCTCATAAAATTTGCAATGTTATTCCAAAAAATTGAAATGTCATTCCAATACATTTATATTAACATTGTTTTATCAGCTTTTTCAATTTTTTTTTTTTTTTTTTTTTTTCTCAAAGAGATTGATTTTTAAATATTTTTTAACGTTTCACTAAGATCTACAAGTTTCTTGTGGAAGCTGAATAAGCAAGTCTTTTACTTTTTAAGATGTACTCAAAAAACCTATTTTTTTAACCTGTAAAATATTACTTTTTGGACTATTAAGGCATGAAAATATCGTCATTTAGGCCTACATGTTTGCCCGACTGTGTGTGAATCAAAATATCTATCTAAAAAATTATTTAGAAAAAATCATTTTTATTACGTTAATGTTATGCAGTCTTAGAGCTGGTAAAATCTTTTATTTTCACGGAATTTTCTGGATTTAAAAGTTTCAGTTTCTGCGATAAAAACGAAGCTACAAATCAATATTCACCCTAGTTTAATGTAAACTTTTCGAAATAATCGATTTACATGCATTTATACTAGCTTGTATACTTTTTAATTTTTTCGAATACCACTTGGACCACTACAATATTGACTTTTAAAATTGTGTTACGTAAAAAGTAAATGATTCCTGGATATTTATACTTTTTGTTATGGCATTGTTGTAAGGCAGTCGTTTCTAAGAACTCAAGAGCGTTATCTTAATTAGGTAATGATATGTCCAGTTAATATACAAGTCAGAAGTAAGGTTTTTTGTGGGATTTTACTTATGTAAATGTAGAAAATGAACGATTTATTCAGATAACTAACATTTTTTTTTCTTATTCAAGTCTTCAAAAACTATTAATATGATCCTTTCTTCAACACTTGAAACATACCTGAATTTTTAATTGTATTCATAAGTTGTAAGTACAACAAATTCTTTTTCTTTTATTTCTAGACAGATTGACATTCAAAAAAGCTTTTATATTCATTTTAGTACAGGGCCTAATTCCTATAAGCATACGATGACTTTATTGAAATACTGTCATCGTGTTCTTAACAATCTGTTTGTAACTTACGTGTCACATCACAAGTACATAAGCTTTTTCATTAAAAATATTATCAGTAAAAATTTTACCATCAGAATGTTTAATTTTACATAATTTGTGGCAGCTTAACTTAAGGGGTAGATGTAGGGAAGGGCAACTATACCTTGCAGCTGACTTGAACTGAGCTTGCGCGAGCGTACATCAGCTACTGTCTCTTCTGCTCTGTGTGATGTTTTTACATTACGATCTTACCAGCATTGCCAGTAGCTGAAACTTAGTTCAAGAAGACAGTAGCCGTGTTTTACAATGTGAAGGTCGCAATCACGGGTCATCAATGGCTAGAGCGAACGTGCTTACCAAGCTTTATTATTTTGACAGAAACAGAAAAAACAGCAGAAATAGTAGCAACAGTGGAAGCAGAAGCAGTAGTAGTACTTAAAGGTTGTTTGATGCTTGCTGTGAGCCTAGTTGGTTGGTGTGTAAAATACTTGAAGTACTCGTCCATTCTATAGAGCTTCCCAGTGTACACTACTCGTGAGAGCTTGACTAATAACTGTAAGACGAAATACTTAAGTACAGTCAAGAGTCGACTAAATCTGCAGCAGCAGTTTTAGCCACCAAGTCCATGGGGATGAAGTCCTCATTGACTGCAGGCAATAGGGCTGTCATACCCTTATTTTTGCTTGAGTGTTGTCAAGTTGCGGGCTTTAATGACTACAGACTCCTAAGCAGCTAGAGCTTATCCACCAACCTTTATTAGTGTGCTGCCTTCTGCAGTGTGGGACTCTAAATTTCTTTTTCCTTCTCAAGTCTACAAAGGCTAACCAGCCAGCCAGTCCCAAAAATTATAAGCGGAATAGAAGCAGTATCAACAGCATCAGCGCTAGCAGCAGCAATAGCTTAGTGACTAAGAATCACAGGTCATCTGAAGCTATGTCCCAGATTGTACGGCAACTTGGGTGCTCGCATAAGCTCCTACTGTCCTGACTCGTCAAGTGAGTAACAACTCATTAATCTTATCCATTTCATCATACATCATCTTACAGTTTTAAAATCATGTTGCCCTTACATATCCATCCCGGACTATACCAAAGACCTTGTTTTCTTTCTTCTTAAGATTGTGGTAGTTTTTCTTCCCAATTATAGTATAGATGAGCCTAGGTTGCGTCTAAAAATTATACTCGCGGCTGTTAGATCTACCGTTGCAGCCAGGGAAAAACATGTGTTTTTAAAAAATTACGCACGTGGGTTTGTAAGCATATTTAGAACATAGTATAGTGTTTTCAGCACATTCATTTACAGCGTACCCTAACAGTTATCTCTTCACGTGTAAAAAATTATATGGACATATGTGATTACCGTGACAGAAGATAATGTTTTTATTTTAAGACGAATCTTATAACGTACAAAGACAATTTTTTACTTTTTCTCCCTTATATTACGCTTATGAACATAATCTAATTTATTGTATCCCTAATCATAAATACATAAAATTATGCATGAAATATTTAAGGTCAATGCACTATAAGTTTCCCGAAAAAAAAAAAAATTAAATAAAAAATGATTCCAAGTACCTAACCATCAATACATTTTTACTGACAACACGAATTAAAATTAAACACTTACTGAAGTGAGAAGTCTAATTATTTATCAACTACGGATCTAAACTCTTATTTGAAAAATCATTTTGTTAAGGACGGTCAGGAGTTATGGTATGGAGAAACAAAAATCAAAGTCTCCCTGATTCCAAGCATACCTTCTTTTAAAAATCAGATTTTTGAAATTTGACAGTGATTTGTGTGCTTTTATCCGACTCATAGTCATCCTACTTCTCTTTTAAATACTTTGACTGTAAAGATTTTTAAAAAATGATGTCGTAGCACTACTTGTGTAGATGACTTACTACTGATTTTTTTTAGAAGTTTACAAGCATGTTTAAGTACTTGTATTTTACTATATTTGTTTTGTTGTTTTAACGATGAAATAATAGAAATTGTATTACTTTTATTACTGTTGGACTAAAGATTCTAGCTTATGTATACACAGAACCAATGTTATGCATTGTTAGTACTCAAAAAATTTCGATAAAAGAAAATGGCTAGAGTAGGACTAGAAAAAAGATACACTATAACACCAAATAAGCTAGTACATATATGGAGCAGAAGCTACGAGTCCGGATCACTACCATTGAGTCTAGGTGTCAACTGTTTCTATCTTAAATAAACCCTGGGTCGAATAATAAAGTTTGTTTATTCATTGTGCGATAAGGAGAGTCCTACTAACAGCAAAAAACATTAAGAAAAAGTTTTAATGGAAACCTTAACCTAATCCAAATTTCCATTAATTAGTTAAATATTTGAAGATAGTTAATTAAAAGATTATTCTTTAGGAATTCTGAAAATGACTATGCTTGAGCGATTATGAAAGCTTTGACGAGCGTTGTGTGCAGGATTCTACCCCAAGTATCGCTGTAAAGTTTGTTCCTATTGAAGAGACCAACAAAAACCAATAAAATTTATTGACTCTCTGTACCATTTCGAAACGTCTGACAAAAATTTGATTTGGTTCTACATAAAAATCACATCTCATAAGTTTTTTCTGTATATAGATATGGCAGAGCTGACAAAATATAGTCAAAAATAAAAAAAAAATGAAATAAAGTACAAGATTCCGTAGGGTGTTCTAAATTTCATAATAATAACAGAGTTTGCGTTGACATAAGAAAAACCAAATAGACAACCCAAGACATCATATTGTGTTAAGCCATCTTATAATAAATCCATAGGTCAAATACTTTTATTATCCGTTTATACGGTTTTATATAGTTATTTAAGTTTAAAAACCTAGTATAACAGAGTTTTTTTTCATTTGATTGCGTCATAGTTGGCAACGCAAATAAAGAACAAAAAAAAGTATTTAAGTATTTAAATTAGTAATTGTCTTTCACACGGTTCCATCTCTGTTATTTAGTTCAACAGCCTCTTAGTATGCATCAGACTAGAATGAAATAAAAAAACAGTGTAACTTTTAAACGTTATCTCTTGGTATACGTATACTCTAACAAAGGCATCTGGATAAAATGCTTCAGTTATTTAAGCACGTTAGGTGTGTATTAACACCTAGACTAGTTTAGTAGCTTAAAAGACCTGGATATTTATATCACTCTTGCATCCCAGACTAATGTGTACTTTCTGAAAAACTGGATTATAAATGATGAATGAAACCGTGAAAATAATTGAGTTTAAAATTTTTTATAAAATTATAATATTTTAAACGCTTATTACATAGTTACATGTTATATTGACAGCATGGCTAGAAAATAGTAAAATAATACAACTTATATGTTATATACTTAATGTTTGCTTTAAGTTTATATGGTTAGCGAAGTTTGCTTTCGCCTAATCAAGAAGGTGCCAGCCTTAGTACCCTGCGGACTAAGTTGAAATCTTACAATTCTGTATGTTCTCAAATATTTGATAAAAATTAAAAGAAATATTTACGGTTGATTTTTTAATAATACATTCTGATTCAGATTGTTATAACGAATTTCAGTTAGTAAAAAAAAACTTTTTTCACTAATTTATTCATAAATTTTTAATTGTCTTTAATCGTTTTTTATAAAAAAATCCTTTAATTTATTTAATGGCTAATTTTGTAAGAATCAATAAAAAAGTAACATTAAATACGCACATTAATGCATTATAAAATAAAACGTATCAATACTAATAAGAATTATACATTTATTATGATTTATCTATTATACCGAGTATAAAAGCTAACATGATTTAAATGAGAAAACTTTTTTATCAAATTTTAATTGGTTCCTTTTAATACACGGCTTCATTCTCATCCTGCACGAAAGTACGTCAACCTCATACCCTATATAAGTAAACTATCCCACTTTGTTCCTTGCAGAAAATTTAGATTTTTGTTAACATCATTTTTAATAAAATTTACTAGAATCCATAAATGAAAAAAATGATTCTTTGATTTTTTTTCTTAACTGTGAGCTTTAACAGCAGCAATTTTGGTATGAGCTGGTAAGCTATAAAGTTACCATTATTGCTTTAATTTTTTAATATGATTCTTAATTGTTAAAATAGTATATTTCATAAAAAGGCTATAAGACCAAAATGAACATAATTATGAAATGTTGCACCTATTGTTTCATATTATGTCTCTATTTATAAAACATTGTAAAAATTGTAAATTTAGTATAATATTTTAAGACAACTAAAATTTTTTTACTTGCATAATACTATTTTATTTAACTCAAATAAGTATACCATTTATTTGCTCACTAGAAGTATATAATTACTCGTGGAAGTTTGGTGCCATAATACGTAAAGCTCAAAAGATAGGTTATGTACTACTTTAACCTTACGGCATAAATGTGCATTCCACACTTTCGAAGTACTTAAGGTTTTCAACATTATGTAACGATGTAATGGAATACCAGTCGTAGTGTCGCATTTGACCCTAGGAAGATGTGAAAACATGGATATGGATATGTGCTACTATTTTTTAGTGCGTTCTGAAACATGCAACACGAAAAAATTTAATTTCTTAAAATTTTGAAAAAGTTGACCTTACATATAGTAGTAGTGTCCTCAGTAAATAAGAAATGCATTATAGCGTATCATATCTTTTAGTCATAAAAAATATTNTTATCTGTTAAGCCTTACTCTGTTTTAATATATATTTTTTTAATAGCTGCAGCATTTTTCACACCACAACTGGCTGATTTAAACATATGATTTTTATACGTCACATAAATCATGTTAAATTGTGTAGAAAAAGTACCCAAAAAATTAAACTAAAAAATGTTTACGTGATTATTCATTGCAAAGAGTGTTGTTTATCGCTCTATACAATAGTAATAAGTCGTTTGTAGCAGCTATAGTAAAAAATAAATGTTGTACATGCAATTTCATTTAAAAATCTTGAAAAAGTTCCGTTTACAGTCGTACCACCTATGGTAGTAGATTGATGACGATTATTATTAACATGTAAATGTAAGAAATCGTGAAGAAAGTCTATTAAGGGCTGTGAATTTTATTTTTAAGATTAACATTCAAATCACCAGAAACAATCATAGGCAAATAATTGTAATTTTCTTGCAATGCAGTAGAACCAATATCTGAATATGGTAGCAAATTAAATCGCAAAAAGAGAATAATTTCATGAATGTTAGTATGTGGTAAAATATAAACCATAACGTGCTTAAAAAGCAAGGTTATATTTATGCATGTCAATTGTAACCGATGGACCCAAACTAATGCACATGCACGGATGGATAACAACTGTTATCTCTCTCAGTCTCTTCCTGTGGCTTGTAGACTACTTGTCTCACCTCTGTCTAGACAGAAAAATATTTTTGTAAGGGGGCAGCGTACACACGCAGCACTGGCTACTTATTGGCCACCAGCCCTGTCCACAGCATGTGTTGTGTGTGTGTATGAGAGAGAGAGAGCACGGTATTAGTATATCTACATAGGCACGACAGAAAAAGCGTTACGCTTTGAAAATTTTCACTGCCCAAGCAGAAATCCAAATCTCGTATGGAATGTTTTCATATCAAAAATAAGTCACGCTTCCGTAATTTTTTTGAAAACATGTTATTTGCAAGCTCTTACCATACAATACATTTTCACTTGTAATACCTTTCCAAGATGACACGATCACTGATTTTTTTTTTCTTTAAATTTGCACCAAATGTGCAAAATCAGCTATAAATTTCACGAGGACGTCCCAACTAATGATAATGTGTTTAAAAACTTTAGGTTTTAGTGAGCTATCGAAAGAACGCTAAATTTTTTGCATCTTCACTAGGTAAGCAATGCAAAAAATGAATGATATTATCGCGGGCACTAAGTTATTTGAAAAAACATTTTATTTTTTGTGCTTAACATGATCAAGTTCTAACGAATTTGAAATATAGACAATAGCGATTCCGGATGCATTAGAGGAAAATTGTCGCTTGTTTGCCAAAAGT